ACCCAAACTTTGACTACTTTAAATAGCATCTTTGTTCTATGAAAAGGACAAAGTTCAAGTCATGGAAAAAGGACATAAGCCTAAAGCCATCAATGAATACAGGCAATTCATTAGAGTCCAGCAACTGGTGGGGTCCTATTACCTTTCATGGTATAACACTTAGAGAAGGAAGGGTATTGAAGGGAGGGAGAAAGGAAGGAGGAGAGAAATAGAAATGTCATGGAAGTCAGAAATATAGAGAACAGGATGGCTATTGTTTGGATTTGAGGTTAAGTGTACAGCAGTTCTCTATCCAACTATGAAAAAGTCTAGTTCTGGGCGGTCTTGCATTCTAGAAAGCAGTATTCACTTTATTGCCTTTTTGAAATCTGATTCGATCATTGTAATGTAATCATCTGTATAAATCTGTGTTTATCCTAAAGATAATCAGGATACCACAGGAACTATACAACTTTCTTATGTAGAGCTGAATCTACATATGTGATTTTGATGTAAATTTTGTCACCTTTTTTTCTTTTCATATATTAAATATACAAGAAGAGCATTAACTTATAAAATAATTTTTCAGTATCTTAAATAATGTACTGATAGTGACTGCTAACAATGTCTTTTCCTTTTTCTTTATTCAAATAGAGCTACATTGGAGATCCTGATGAATTCAGGGTGAAAAGGCAAATCTGAAAATTTATAAATAAGTATAATGAAAATGACAATTGACTCATTAGAAGAGAATCACAGTTCTTCTCCCATGATTATTTGATAGGATATTCTGATTAAAGAACAGATCAATAAAAATTTCTTTTCTCCTTTTGCTGCATGATATTAGATTTTAAAAATCTGTCAAATGGACTTTATTTGTGTCTTGAACGTCATAAGATTCATAAGATATTTTAGTATTACATCACAAGAGAATGCAATCTATTTATAATTGAAAACAATGCTGCTTGAAATTGTATGAATTGATTTTCCATTCCAGAACATCTATACACTTATGCTTACTGTTTGCATTGTCTTATAGCCTGTCATAATAATAATGGTGATAATAGGTAGCATTTATTGAACACAAACTATTTGCTTGGCCTTGTGATCACTTTATCTTTCATTTTGTCATTAAGCAAATTATAGAAACACTAAATCATTTGGTGAATCTGGAATAAACAAAATGTTTGCTTAATTATCTTTCAAGTTTAAGAATACATAGTTCATTAAGAGTGCTTGTCTGAAATGGCACTTTTGATTACAGTCCTACATTTACTTTTCTCTGTGGTTGACACAGCATGTAGAAGTTGAAGTAATGTCTCAACAAGGGAAAAACTGAATTGCACCCAAAAAGAATTAGTGCCTTTGTATGCTTTAGTCTACTAGGATTCACCAAAGTCAAGCTGATTCTATAGAAATTTAGGTTTTTCTAAAGTAACATTTGTTGTTGTTTGACTAAATGTGAACATAGGCAAGATGTAAGAAAGTAGTGGAGTATTAAACATCACATATTACTGAATATTAATTTTAGTTCCAATACCAATTTGTGTAATGGTAAGATTTACATAACAGAAGCTGAAAAGAAACACCTAAAATTCTTTGACTCTAAAGGAGTAAAGTCCAAGTTGAAGTTATTTAATATCAATTGCAGCTGAACATGTCTACATATAAGGAAAATAAAATCATACATTTAAGTTAAAAATCATAAAGGAAAACAGAATATTTAAAAATGTGAAATCTAGACTTTGAGAAAAAAATCTCTGATTTTAACCTAGGTTTTTTCACCCTGAAAAGTGGTGAGATAATCTAAGCAGTCCAGAATTTGCCCTGGCTCACTGCCAAGAAGGTCTCAAAAAGACTCCTCTCTCAGTTACAAAGCAATGTGTAAAGTCCCCGATACAGAGGAACATCTAAAGAAATTGCAGCAAAAGGAATGATGAGGCAAAATTAAGTACATTTGAAAGGAATGTAGAATAGCTGCTAACCTGTACTTCAGGAAAAATTGCCTTTTTGTTTAATGAAATGATCCAGCAGTAACATTTTTTAAAGTGTAGTTTGTTTCTAGAGTGATTTCACACGTAAATGACTACAGTCTTTCTCTAAGTTGTCGGTACCTAGGAACCAATAATTCTCCCTGAACTCAACCTGTAACATATTTTTCAATTGTATGAATATTTTCATTGTTTAAAATTGTGATATAGAAAGTCATTATTTTTGCTATTTAAAGTTCAGCATAGAGAAATTGGCAAACAAAAAAGAATACTGTTCTTAATATGATCATTACATTTAATATTAATGTAAATCAAGGAGCATAGTGCTCTTATTTATCCCTTCACCATACAAAATTACTGATGTTAACAAGTTAGCACACTTGATAAGAAAGTAGAAAAGTACTTTTTTCATTCAGCTCCATCTGGACCCTAATTTCCTACTTGTAGTCAAGAAGATCAAACATATTAATATTTAACCTCTACTTATACAAACAGGTAATCTTTAACTGAGTGTTTACTATGCAAACTATTGCAGTAATTTTTTATGAATTATCTAATTTCACCTTCATAATAACTCTTGGGAGATTTATTATTAACCCCATCTTCCAGAACTCGAGGCCCAGGTAGTGTAAGGAACTCATGCTAGTTTACACACCTTGTATGTACTGAGGTGGTGCTTGTGTTTTCACCTATAACTGTGACTCCATGTTCTATGGCTGTAGTAGTTGTCTTCCTATAACTTCTTCCACGTTATGCTTAGACCTCTCTTACATGGTTTCTATGCATTTCAAATTAAAATCAATCCTTGTGTCTCTTAAATGACCCTCCCAATGATTAATATCTCTATGTAATTTTCTTGGTTTAGACTCAGCTGGCTTTTAAAATTTTTTTAGTTTGCCTAGCTACCTATAGTTTAGTCTCTCTGGCATTAGGGTAGAATTATAGCGTTTAGAATTGGAAAAAAGAGTGAAGGTTATCTAGTCTATTTGATAAACAGATCTCTTTATACAACCATTCAGTCAATGCATGAATATATCCAGTGATACAGCCCCTGTCTCTGGTAATAGCCCTTTCCATCCTCACACAGCTCAGGGTACCTGAAATATCAGTCTTACATTGACTCTCTGTAGCATTGATCCTTTAAAATCATTTTGTGAGAGGAATGGCATTTACATTCAGATATCATGTGGTGGATTCTTTGTTCTTTCTCGCTGGAGACTCACAGCTCTCATTTATTTCTGATGATGACTTGCATGAATGAAACTCCCTTGATCTGTTTCTTCCTTCCCTCCTCCCTTCTATTCTTCCTTCCTTCCTTTTTTTTTCTTTTTTTTGTCAGAGGTAGAGAATAAGATAAGACAAGCCCAGTATTGTACTGTTTCTCATGAAGAAATTAGAAAAGCATCTTTTAACAATTTATTAACAATTAATTCTTCTAATTTTGTGTGTAAGATGGATAGGTAGGTAGGTAGGTAGGTAGATAGATCGACAGACAGGCAAGCATTCAATTTAATATTCGTGACCTGGTAATATGGAAAAGAAACCATGTGAGTTGTGGATGATGAGCTATTAACTATATATCTCCTTACGTGAGGGAATGTTAATTCTGGTAGATAAGTCATTTATAGGAATGATTGTAATAATTGACAGTGTGATGCAGATTATGAGTAATTCAAGCAAAATATTACAAAGAAATTAATTCTATGAGAATTCTTAGGGATTGCATTTGATTTAGCTTGGAAGAGTGATACTATTTTCTCTAGGTGGCCTATAGTTGTAGGTGTCAGGAACAATGGGAGGAAAGGCTAATAAGTGGACGACCACAGAGCATGTTTTCCTGGAGGGTTGTGGACATGAGAAAGAGTGCTGAGGTGGGGTCTAAATGCAAATGGTGTTGATCTGACCTTTAAGGCTAAGTTAAGGAGTTTGAACTTTATTCTCTATTAAAATAATATTTTTGATAAGATGGAAAAGGCAATAAGAGAAATAAAGCAGGTAACTTATCAAATGACTAATGTCCTGGGATAGGGCTGGGACATTGAAGCAGAAGGGTCTTCATTTCGGCTTCCTCTCTTTGGAAGGCACATTCTACATTTTATGGAGGCTGATGAAAAGGTTCTATGTGTGCACGGTAAAAATCTGAATCATTGATTCAGGACACATTTCTGGAGACTCCTCAACATTTCTATCCCATGAGAGATGGGTTGTGGTGGTGTATATATATATATATATATATATATAAACCTAACTTCAATTGAAGCAGATAAAGAAAACCTCTTTGGTGATGATCAACACTTACCTCTCTAGTGAAAAGGTGGACTTAGTGTTATTTCTATCTGAAGATGTTTTTCTCACTTAAGGTGTAGGTCTAAAAAAGTTCAGTATTTGCCTGTTCACAACAAAAGCAAATTGGAAATCAATAACAAACTGAAAAATTGGGGTCATATAGTAAAATTTATTTAATTCAGTGTTTTCATAAAAGCCTAACTCAGTTGATCTATTATATATGTCAGTTACAAAATAATACAAAGGATTTAGATGGTGAAGTTAATGATTTAATGGACAAAAAGACGTTAATAAAAAGAGGCCTCAAACAACCTAGGAGGTTGAACGTTTTCCCCACACTACCTCTGCTCTGTTGGTCCCTATGCTTATCCTTCTAGCAATGACTTGGAGCAAATGAAACCACTTAAACAAGTCTTAGTAAAGTTAAAGACATTTTGTATACAAAGTGACCATTCTGATCTATTACTACATGCAGAGGTTGCACCAGCCCAATTGTTTGGACAGGGTATTCTCTCCTTTCTTCTGTAGGAGTGTGTGGTCTTGAATATGAAATCAGCAAACTCATGGGAGTATAACTCCCACTTCAATGAAATGTAAAGAAGTCCTGTATATTTTTTAGTACCACAAAGAATAACCACTGATTGGTAACTACAGCAGGCAGTAGCCACATTACCATATACCAATAGTCTGTGCTCATATAGGACCTCACATTAACACCCAATGTCTTGCTTTGTTACCTTGCAGAAATGTTGGAATCCAACAATGTGATCACTTTCAATGGCTTGGCCAACAGCTCCAGTTATCATACCTTCCTTTTGGATGAGGAACGGAGTAGGCTGTATGTTGGAGCAAAGGATCACATGTTTTCATTCAACCTGGTTAATATCAAGGATTTTCAAAAGGTATCTTTATTCTAATATATGTACTATAATTCTTTTGAAACAATTCAAGTTATATAGAATTTTCTAGCTATTTAAGTGTGACAACTGAAAAAAATTGTTTAATATTTTATCTTTTCAGACACAAATAAAAATAATGCACTGATCTGACTATCACAAATCAGTGGATGCAGTAAACCGTCAAAATTATCAGGGAGGAAACTGTAGTATTTTCAGTGATCATCATAAGAAATACTAACTTTAGCTTATTCTTCCACAGTTCTATCATTTTTCCTGCATAAAATTAAATACCTAAAGCATTATAGAAATATATCATAATTGATTTCATGTACTAGGTATATATATTTATATATAATTTACATATCTATCTATATTGCCAGCACATGCAGAGTTCATCAGTCATCATACACATGCCTCATCTGAATGTCGCCTGAGTTTGGAAAGTTTATTAGAACACAGGCACTCCCATTCATTTACATATTGTCTATATCTGCTTTCATTCTACAATGGTAGAGCTGAGTAGTTGTGATAGAAACCATCTGAATCACAAAGCATAAAATATTTACTATCTGGCCTTTTAAACAAAAAAGTTGGCCAAACCCTGATCACAAAGATCAGTTTTCAGTGTCAGGTTTTTGCAAATATGGACATTTAGACACTAGCCTTCTATCAGTATTTTTAATATACTTTATTGTGTTTCTGGATTATTTAATTAATAAGCTATACAGTTTGGAAAATAAACATGGGTTGACAGATTAGTGGAAATTGTGCTACTGAGTCTATATGCTGTATTCTAAGTCAAACAGTTTTTTTTCAGTCGGTATTTCCTGTCAATTCTCTGAGGAACAAAGATCTTTATGCAACAGCTTTCCCAAGAGTGGTAATATAACATGCTTTTTAGGGTGCATACACTTTAGTGTATACACACACACACACACACACACACATATATATATATATATGCATATATATATATATATATATATATTAGTTTTGCTGCTTCTTAACACTTGGTTTTAAAGTAGTGTGCCTCAACTTCTTATAAACTGTAACATATTGGACAGTTACTTTTAAAAAGTAACAGAATTGTAAAAAGCTTTTTTTCTGGTTGGAGAATGTTGTTTTGGGATAAAGTGAAGATTTAATTTCAGGGCTGATTCATATCTCTAATAGAGTATGCCTCTAAACCTAAGACTTTTACTTTTCTTTTATTACCCAAACATTAAAATTCTGACTATATATTAAGAGATTTGATTCATAACATATAGTCAAATAAAGTGGCAGTGCCCTTAATGATATATTTTGGAATTAAGATATAACATTTAAAAATCACCTTGGATATTTCTTTTTTTGATTTTTCAATATATTAAATTTTGCAGCTTCCTCAGATTAACAATATCCCTAAGGTTATCCATTGTTTTTTTCTGAAATGATAAAAACATTTATCTTAGCATCTTTTGTAAAGGTCAAAAAATAAGCAAGTTTTTGTTGTTTTAGTGAAAGACAACTATCCTTTATAAAATGAATGAAAAATCTAAGATGATTAGGAAGACTACATATTTTAATAACAGGAGGTTATATCAGTTCAAATTTTCAGTGTTTATAGAAATTTCATCATTTTATGAAATCCATATATATGAATATATGTATATACTTATTATATCTATGTATCTATTGTATATGTATAATCTATAAATAGAAAATATTTGAGCACATCTCACCTCAGAATATATGTTTAATGTATTCAACATTTTTTCTGAATAAATATTCTTAATTTGGTTTATATATTCAGTTGGCTCTAAAATTGAAAAGAAATAAGTTGTCATATAAACAACCTACTATTTTATAGGTAAGAAAAATCCTAGAGACATTTGTATGCCCAGGATGCATCACTTGTAATAAACATATACTGAAATAATGGGTTAAATAAAAGTTACGTGTTTTGCCCAGTGTCATAGTGTTGTTCTTATAGGCTCTTGATTCAAAACATTATTCTAATAATAGAAGACATATTTCTAATTTTAAAGCATTCGTTTCAACACATTATTTAATTTTAATTATATCACACTCTTTATAAGGGTAAATACAGTTTACTTAAGGATTATATGTTTGTCTATATTATCTATTAATGCTCTTTTTAGCCTATATATAATATTATTCAACAACTTTTTCCTAAGCATCTACTACTGTGATAAACTCTATAGGGGGCACTAGGGTATGTCATCAATAATTCTTGAGGAACTTACAAGATAATACTAAAGATGTATGAGCATAAAGGTAAATACTAGGCCAATCCCTGTTAGAGACAAAAACACAGTCTCAGGCTTAGAAGGACCATGAAAAGATTCTTGGCCTTGGTAAAGGTCTCAGTCTCCTTAAAGCATAAATGCTTATTAGATAATGAGTAAGAAGAGCCACCATGGGTAGATGTATAGAAGCCTAAAGAAGGGAAAGTCTAAAATAGATCATGAAGCACTCTGAATATGAGGGTAAGAAATTTAGGCACTGTTAACTGAGAAGTTTTTGAGCAAGAAGAAAAAATATCAACAGATTAACACATCTAACCAAAAGGTAGGAATTATTCTTCATGGAAATAGATGCTATTGGAAGGACAATTTATATATTTGTTCCGTTGACTTACAGTTATTCTCATTAAATTGCTTTCCAAAAGAGCACTTTCTACACCAGAATTTATTTTGCTCATGCCAGATCTTGAGGCTAATATTTTTTTACCCTGATCTGTAACAAGTTGGGAGTATACACCCCTCTAAATATGAGAGAATTTAGCATGAATGTTAGCAAAATTACTTTTTATTAATATTTGTCATAAGAGAGAAATCACAAAATGAGGCCCATGTTGTGTCAATGCTGATAATAAAGAGCTAGGAGACTACGAGAAAACAACCTGCCCTTTTAAATTTAAAAAGTTATCTGTGTTAATAATCTGTGATTTTTGCACGATCTAGCTGGAAAGCTGAATATACAGTCAATAAATCTTAGCTCTTCTATATATTATTTTTGTGTCCCAGAGAAAATTTATATTTGATCCTCTTCCTGTGTATGTTTTACTTTACATACACAGACACACATGAAAAGAAAAGTACATGAAAAGGAAAAGAATACATAAATTAAGAGCTTCAAATGGTAAAAATAAATCCATGTCCAAAAATTTTTAGGGCTTTTTATTGTGATATGGACCTGAAATGCATTTGCCATGTCATCATAGGTTATTTCAATATGTCCTAAATTCTTGTTTATAAATGTGTTATATTTTGCTTTTTAATTCCCTAGATTGACTATCACAGCCTTTGCCCAAGTTTATGACCGTTTATACTGAATTATCTAGAGGTTCCCAAATGAATGATAATCAGTCATTTTGAGACTAAAAGCTTTCTAGCAGACATGGATGATTAACTGCCATCATCTCTGGATTTTTCTTTTACATATGACTTTTTTTTCCCCCTAAAATTAACTAATGTTACCAGAAAAGAAAGATGAATAAAAAAAAATTAAAATTGCTCTACCCCAGTACAGATAGGAGTCATGGGAATTGCTCAGGGGACTGGAAAATTTTATCTTAAAATTTAGATGAGGGTATTTGAATTAATATTATTGAGGGAAATGCATCTACAATCCTCTAAGCCATGAGTCATGCCTTGATTTATCTACCACTGTCACCTGATTTATCTACCACTGTCACTGTATTCAAACAATACAGGAACCTCTGGAAAGATGAAGACCAAATATCAGGGATGAAAATACAGTTATTACACAGTTAGTCTGAGTTTTGCCCACAGTGGGGAAGGTGGTTTTTTTTTTTTTTTTAGAGCTATGTATTTGCTTCTTCATTTCCTCCTTTATCTCCTGAAATTATGTAGTGCTACTCTTATTTTCCCTGTCCAAAAAAAAAAAAAAATTCCTTTCTAAAATGGGCTTTTCTAACCCTATCAGTTGCTCATTATAGCATGTCATGCTGAGATTTGAATGACAGAAATGGATCCAGAGCACCTGGTGTTAACATTTCAAAATCACTGTTTTATGATAAAGACCAATTCATTCAGAAGACTGCAAGCCACATTCTATGCTTATTTCTCTCTCTCTTCACTAGATTCTCACATGGTCTCAGGATGATCTCCCTTTCCCAACCAGCCTTACAATTCTTGCCATTGCACACTGCTTACATCTACTGACTACATAAATTTCTGTGTTGCCCAACTTTCATTTATACAGCAAAGCCTAATGGGTAGACAGAGAGTGAAAGATGTTAAGTTCATGCCAATTAACTGATGCCACTGCAAAGTCTAAACTAAGAGGTTCCTGCCACATAATGCTTTATGGAACTTTCTTTATCTCAGTTACTCCACTTGTTCTAACAGACTATAAGGTTGGATCTCTTAGAAAACTTAATTGGCAGAAAATAATGTTTCTTCTCTGCCCTTAGATTGTGTGGCCAGTGTCTTACACCAGAAGGGATGAATGCAAGTGGGCTGGAAAAGATATCCTGGTAAGTATCAATCTACTAAGTTATTTTAGTAATTGCATAAGGAATTTATTACTCTATCATTTTTGTTCAGTGTTATATTAAACACCATTCTTTGCTTCTGGACTTAGAAACAAATTAATGATATTTGATTTTGAATATTAACATTTTTATGTAAAGCATTGAAAATCTTATGTAAAGCAAGTGGGTAGAAAATGACAGTACACCTGAATAAAGCAAAAATGTGTTCCTTTTGATGATTTATATACACAAAAGGTAATTAACATTTTTAGCATATATACTTATACTCAATAAGTCAACTTATTTGTGCAGATTTGTTTTCATGTTAATTCCTCTTGAATTCCTTCTGAATGAATTGAAATTTTTCTTCTTCTGAATCATGATTAAATTCCTCTCCTTCCTTCCATTTCATTCTATTCCTTTTCTTTCTTTTCCTTTTCCCTTCTTTCCTTCTTACATTTCTTCTTTTTTCTCCTTCCTCCCTTAGAACTTCTCTCTTCCCTTCCCTCCTTCTTTCTCACATTTCATGCACTCATTCCTTAAATAAATATGGATTGAGAAATGACTATGCAACAAACATTGTCCTGGGTACTACGGACAAAAGATGAGTGAATGGTAAGCAGTCCCTACAATGGTTTTACCACTGTTAGTAGGTAGAGGCCATTTTTCCTGAGGTAAACTTTGTCGTAAAATTAAGTGGGCCGCTGGTTTGAAGTATAGCCAAGGATCTGCACAGATCATGAAAGGCAGTTATAATCATTTAAATCAATAAATTAACATGAATTCAGGATTTTAAATATAATTTGTATTATTTTATGTCTTATCAGATATTTTTGGATCCAAAACACAAGGAAATAAGTTTAAAAGTTTTGTCTCTGTTAGCATTTAGAAGAAATTTATTATATGTGCATAAAGGCATAAATCAACTTGTATGTATGTATATAGACATATAGATATTTTCAAGGGACAATCTGATTGATTGGTAGCAGCTGCCTAAGATTATGTATATGTTTAGAAGGACTTAGAAGTGAAATCAGAGTTCATGGAAAAGAATGTCTCAATCTGGTAGCAGAGTTGGCTACAGGTGAAGGCAGATAAAGGAGCACAAAGCACAGGTATCTCCCATCCATGATTAATACATATCAGCAAACATGGGAAATTCATCCTTAAAAATTTCAATTTAAATATAGTGATTACAAGTCACATTAAACCATAGTACAGTAAACATTTTTCTGATTATGTGAAAGTGGACAAAAAATTCTGTTCTATCAAATTTTATACTACTCCAAGTTAATACATAGGTTGGGATAATTGAAAAGGAGTAAATAGAAAAATGAAGTAGGAGTCCAAAGAAGTCAAGAATTTTATGTTGATTCCCCACTGACTCATTAATTTTACTTGAGCAAGTACCTTAACTTTTGGGGGGGTTTAGTATCTTATCCATTACATGGGGCATTGCATATTTGCAGTTGTGAGAAAGAAGTTCAGTAGATTTTGTGATAATTATTTAGAAGTAGGTAATATTGCATAAATGTAGGCAAAAAATATGACTGAATACACAAAAATTTATTAACATCAAAATGCTATATTTACCATTAACAAATTATGTTGAAAGACTTCAGTGTGATAATAACTAAGGATGGAGAGAAATGAAGGTTTTACCTGTATACAGCTGTGACTTTTAAAAACATATATTTTTTTCTCTTTCTGTTAAAGTATAACAGGTGAATACATGGAAACTTAGAATTACTGAGGATTCTATCCTGTGCCAAGTACTTTGATAATTTAGATAGTATTTTATATATGTAGTTTTAACAATAATCTTGTCAAGTGGGTATCATTACCACTGTTTTCTTAAGAAATATAATGATTCAGCATATTCATTCAGAATTGTTTCATTCAAAAATTTTGGAACATTTTGAGTACTATGCTAGAAGTCAAGATCAAAATTTTTGTGCCTCTGCTGAAGTTTTTGGTGTTGTGTGGCATGTATGGATTTGAACTTAGCTGTTAACACACAGATAATAAGCAGTAGAGATTCAAATAAATACCTTACCTATTCTGATCTTTTTAAGCGTGTGGATGTAATAATAACCAGCTCGTGACATTCTTGTAAGACTCAATCACAAATGAAATTATTACATAGGCTGTAATGCATGATACAAAATTAACTATTAGTATCTGTAACAGAGTTGCTTAGACAATTTCTAAGTGAAAACATCATTAATGAAATTTGTTTGGTCCTCTCTAATGAACATGACCACTGTAGTGTGGAACTGTTCTGAATTCAGTTCCATCTGAACACTGAAGATAATAACCATACTTATCTGACAACTTATCTAGATTTTATAAAAAGCACTGAGCCAAGTACTGAGCATATTTCAGTTGCTAAGATAGCAGATATCCTTTTGTGTTTATGGTTTCCAAAATTCACCTCAGTACATTTCCCTTATCTTCTGTGCCCCTCGCCTTGCCTACTCTGCTCCTCTCCCTCTTCCTCTTCCCTCCCCTTCCCTCCCTCCCCA